AAGACAGTTCTTCCTGTGGTTAACCACCTGAACCGATGCTCGGAGTCTGCCCTAGCTCCCATCTGCTACGCTCTTCTGCCTCAAGGTCTGATTGGCTTTTCTTCCACCAATCTCACTCGCTGCTGGCATAGGACTTCACAGTGGCCTTTCCCCTTCATAGCTCCACAGTGACAATATGGAAGCTGGAAGCCGCCGCTAAGTCTGCACTCAGCCCTTCACCAATTCCTGCCCATCCCCCAGCCTCTCTCCATGTGATTCTTAGTACTATATACATATAGTTCTTAGCATTTGTCCTCATCTTATAATGGCAATAATCATAGTAGCTGTCTTATAACCAGTTGCTGCTGAGTTGATTCTGATTTATGGTGACCCCATATATGCTCCATAGAGGTACCAATGACTGGTTTGGGGAAAGTAGATCACGAGGTCTTTCTTCCCAAGTACCTCTGAGTAAACTCCAACCTCCAAACTTACAGTAAGCAGCTGAGGGCATTATCCTTTTTTACACTACCCAGGGACTCCATCTATCTTCTAATACTTTAAAAAAGATAATGCATTTAAAAGCTTACCAATCACCTCCCAAATGTTAACTGTAATAGTTCTTTTTTACTGGAGTCTAGAACCACCGGACAACATCTACAGTAGAGTAACTGAGGTGTATTCATCTTTAGTTCCCCAGTCCCAACCCCAGCTTAAATCTTTGTATACAGGTGACCCTTATTAAATGTGTGTTTAAAATAATCCATACCTCAGTCCTGGGTGTCAATATCTCAGAAGCTGGTAACAGCAGGATTTGCTGATCTAAGGTATCCGTTTATAGTGATTTGTTAGGACTGAGTACTACTTAATGTGAATGTGTAAACTTTCGCAGACACAATATTTGTATAGTGTTGTTAGTAGGTACCATCAAGTTGGTTCCGACTCATAGCGACATTTTACATAACAGGAAGAACCACTGCCTGCCCTACGCCAATATCACAATTGTTATTAAACTTGAGCCCATTGCTACTGCCACTGTGCCAATCCATGTATCTTATTGGGTGTCTTCCTTTTTTTTCATGGCCCCTCCACTTTACCAAGCATAATATCCTTTTCCGGGGACTGGTCCCTCCTGATAATATGTCTGAAGTATGAGAGATCAAGCCTAATCATCCTGACTTCTGAGCAGCATTCTGACATAGTCCATTGTACTTTTAATATTCTTCTCCTACACCATAACTGAAATGCATATTTGCATGCTAATGACCTTCTTATCTTTAAACCAAAGAATGCTTGTTGTTGGTGTTCATTGTTAAGTGCTGTCAAGTCGATTCCAACTCATAGCAACTGTATAGAGTTTCCAATGAGCAGCTGGTGGGTTTGAACCACCAACCTTGCAGTTCAAACTGATCTTGTGGTCCAGTACATTATCCAGCAGAGCCACACCAATGCTTAATGGTGGCTATTTAAGGCATTGGAGTCCTGGGGTGGCACTGTGGGTTAATGTGCTAGACTGTAAAGTTAGTTTGAACGGCAAGATCGGTGGTTCAAGCTCATCAACCGCTCCTTGGAAACCTTATACAGGGTCGTATATGTTGGAACCGACATGGCAGCACTTAACAAAAATTTAAGTCATTGGGGGTGGGGAGTAATTATTGTGGGAAAAATACCTTCCACATTGGTGAAAGTACCCAAAGAAGTAAGCTAGCCTTGAGTTTAAAAAGGTTTGGATCATTGGCACTCACCAAATGGTACCTCTGCATCACTGACAAAGTTTAATTGCCTCAGTCTCTGCCTCCAGAAGATCTGAGTCGTTCTGGCCAATCTCTTTCCTCTATAACAACTATCCATCATTTAGTCATATAGCCTGGCGATGGTTCCTCAATGCCAGGTTCTATGATCTGGACTCCCACATCCATGTGTGAGCCACTGGGTGGTCACAGCCAGAAGTGCCTATTGAGGTTGGACAGGAAGTGAGGGTACTAACTGGGAAAGAGACTGGCTGGCTGGAAGACTCCAAGGAGTGAGTGAGAGTCTCTTCTAGCTTTGTCTTCCCAAAGCACATCTCTGAGCATGCCAAACACAGCTATCCACAAGTCTTGAGTGGATCCTATCAACTGTATTAATCTAACTTCAGGGCCCTCTGCAACTTGGCTCAAATTATCCTCCCCCTACTTTACTCCCACTCACTCCTTCTCCATGGCCAAACCAAAGCCCTGGCCTTTCCCAGAACAAACAAGGCTTTCCGACTTCCAACCTCTAGCTTCATGTTTCTGTTTCTTGAAATGCTGATCTTGTCAAGTCCACTATTTGATATTCTCCCACCTAATCCGTCCAGGTACAACTCAATTGCCACTGCAAGAAGTTTTTCCTGGCCACATCAGCAGGATTCCTTCTCTGGTTGTATATGACAGTTTGTACTTTGCTATACAGGCTTTTTGCTCCTGTAAAGATTTCCAGCCTCAGAAACCCTGTACAGATTCGCTATGAGTTGGAACCGACTCCACGGCACATAACAACAACAACAACGATATAGTCTGCAGAGTCCTGGTGTGGCACTATAGGATAAGTGCTGATCTGCTAACCACAAGGTTGGTGGTTCCAATCCACCAGCCACTCCTCAAAAACCCTATATAGGGTCACTAAGCAACCAGAGTGCTCCTTGGAGACCAAGATGGCCATACTTCGTCTCTCATACTTTGGACATATTTTCAGGAGCGAACAGTCTCTAGAGAAGGATATCATGTTTGGTAAGATGGAGGATCAGAGAAAAAGAGGAAGATCCCCAACGAGATGGATTGGCCAAGTGGCAGCATCGATGGACTCAAGTGTGGCAGCAGTAGTGAGGTTGGCCCAGGATCAGACAGTGTTTCATTCTGCTGTGCATAAGGTTGCTATGAGTCAGTGCCGACTCAATGGCACCTAACAACAACAACAACAACAAGCATTGGAATTGACTCAACAGCTCTTAACAACAACAACCTATAGTCCTACAGTGTGGTGCAAATGTTTTAACATGCTCAACTCTTAACAGACTGGTTGGCAGTTTGAATGCACCCAGGAACACCTTGGAAGAAAGGCCTGGTGATCTACTTCAGAAAAATCACCCATTGAAAACCCTCTGACACACAGTCTGCTCTGACACACAAGAGGTCACCATGAGTTACTGTCAACTCAATGGCAAGTGGGATATAGCCCTGTTCTTTTTCTTCATTGCTATATGCGTGTGTTGGTTTTACCTCCCCTGCTAGAATGTAGGTTCTCAAAGGGTAGGGACCTATTCTTGTATTTTTCCTCCACAAACTTTACAATATCATTAATGGTTGAGTGTCTGAAAGGAAGAAGGGGAAGATAGAATGAAGGGATGAAAAAGAGAATGAAGAGTAAGCAAAAGGCCCATTGCCTGGAGTTGCACCAGCTTTTCAGGAAGCAACCAGAGGTCTGGCTCATTAAAGATGGGATAGTTGCAGGCCCGTTTCTGAATGGTTCCCTTCTACCCTTTTCCCCCTCCCCCAGGCCTCTCTTCAGTGGTATTTCTCACACAGACTCATTGAGGAAAAGCTATGCAAAGGCAGAGCCGGGGTGGCCCTTCTCCGTGAAATCCTCTTCTTCAAGGGCCACTGCCCCCACAGGAAACCAGTGAGGGACAGACTAACCTGCTGGGGCCCCTTTATCCTGCAGCCCTGACACCCCGGAAGCTAACTGTGACCACACACAGCTGGACACACACACAATCCCCTCAACCACCAAGTCACTGTTGTCACTGGCAGTGACAAATTTTCCATGCTGCATAGACACACAAAAGCCCCAGCCTCAAGCCAACACCAAGCAACAAGAAAAGCCACATTCAACAATGAAGCTTCAGTTGACCAGAACCCCACTTGCTGCAATCCCCATTTCAGCTAGCCTCTTTTTTGTGTGTGAGGGTTTTTTGTTGTTGTTGTTTTGCTTTTTTACCACCTAGACCTCAGTACCCTGTCTATAGGAAAAAAAGAGAAATAATCCAAGAAAACAAACTGACTCTAGAAATGTGGTCAAGAGGAGTTCCAGAAAACAATGGGAGTGGGGTGTTTTAACACATAGAGTTTCAGTGACAATTTTAGCAAAGAGAGTAACTCTACTCCCAGTCAGCAAATGCAGCCTTTGTCTTGTCTAGGTTGGTTTGAAAGTCAGAGGTTGCCTGGATTTGTTGACTGATTGACCCAATTCACAAACTCCCCACCAAAGCACTCCGGATCATCAAAGTTTTCTATTGACTTTTATCATCTTCCTAGACACTGAAAAACATGTGGACAGGGTCATTTCCAAAGTCACCCCACCTGCCATCACTTGGCTGCAAAAAGTTTTCCTCTACTGCAGTAGACAGCCATGGAGGTCAGGGGAGGCATATTTAAATATCTTTCCCATCACTTACTCTTTTGGTGAACTAGGCATGTTACTGAACCTCTGAGCCTCAGCCCCCTCATCTGTAAAGTGGGAATGATGATACCATGTCTTAATCAGGGTATTATGAGAATTAATAAAGATAATGTATATGAAAATGTCTATTGAAATCTCTAGAGTCCCTGAGTAATCCCAACAGTTAGCAGCTAACCAAAGATTGGCAGTTTGAGCCCACCCAGAGGCACCTTGATAAAAAGGTCTGGCCATCTACTTCTGAAAAACTAGTCATTGAAAGCATGGAGGGCAGCTCTACTCTAACACACATCTGGTCACCATGAGATAAATTCAACTCAACAGCAACAGAGTAGTTCAAACTCTAGCACACAGTGGGAGCTAAAGACATTGATTTTCTTTCCTTCTTTCCTCAATTCAAACCACTGTTACCCACCCCAGGTCCCTGGCAATTACTCCTGGAGATATCTCTTCAAGGTTTCATGAGAAAGAAGCCCTCCAGGGCTCAGGTGGTCATTCTAACTTCAAAGAGGAGCTGTCTGGGACCGCTAGACTCAGAGAAAACTCCTGGACATTGCTGTCTGGGGCTGAGGTGTACCCAGCAAGTTACTTTGCCCTGCTCAGCTTCATACACCCAACACTTTTGCTGAGAACAGCTGCTGAGCAATGACTTTGGAAGAATGAACCTGTGAGAAGGAGGAGACAGTCAGCTCATAAAGTGCTTACCCACACCCCCAAATGCCCATCCTCTTGGATGGTCTTCTTTTGCCCTGGGCACCATGCCAACTCCATCAAGTGCCTGGAATATCTGAATTAATTCTTAAACTAACCCTATGATGTAAAGACTCTCACCACCTCCTGCAGAAAAGGAAACTGAGATTGAAAAAACAGCTTTTTCATGGCCACACTTCTAGCAAGGACCAAGGAACCAACATTGAGACCTGCAGAGTCTGACACCTGAGTGAGACATACACCCCTGTGCCTAGGGTGTGCTGAGTCACACACTATGGCTGCAGGCCAGGGGAGCAGCCCCTAGACACCCACATATTCTTTCCAACTCTCACAGTGAACCTACAAAGATGGGAGTCCCTGAGCAGTGTAGTTAACGAACTCTCTGCTGCTAATCCAGAGGTGCCCCAATAGAAAGACCTGGTGAAATACCAGTCACTGAAAACCCTCTAGAACAGTTCTACTTTGACATGCATGAGGCTTGCTACCAGTCACTTTAACAGAAATGGTAGCTGGTTTTGCAGAAGTAAAGCTGTTAAGTCATAACGCTTACAAAAGGCAAAGCTGGGAGTCCCTTGTCTCTACTGCACTGGAGGTCAATGTCAGACCCATTTAGGAAGACCAACCTGCCACTTGCAAGATGTTTTTTGAGAGTCAATGAAACCTCATCTGTTCATATGCTCCTCCATGATCCCCAAAGTACTAACTGAAATTCCACCCAAGGTTTGCTGTCTAAGGGTCTTTTTCAAGAGCCTGCCAAGTATCTACATTAATGAGTTATGTTATCTGGGACAGGCAATACATGAGCTAACAAACAGATTAGTGGACCTGCCTTTATCTGGACAAAACTGTCTGTTGTTAGAGAACAGAGCCCAAGAGGATTATGACAGAGGATGGGGACACTTTGATTTGAGGGAAGGGAGTGTTGGATAGTCATTGGTTGTCAGTAGGACTGGGGTGAGGCCTGAAGGATGGAGGTGAGAAAGCCCAAAGAGAAGGGGCTGTTGCTGTTGTTAGCTACTGTAGAGTCAGCCCCCAACACATGACAACACCATACACAATAGAACAAAACATTACCTGGTCCTGTGTTACCTACATGATTGAAGGGGGATCAGAGTGTTAGGATTCATAGGATTTTCACTGACTGATTTTTAGACATAGATCACTAGGTCTTTCTTCTTATTCTGTCTTAGTCCAGACATTTCACTAAAACCTGTTCAGCATCATTGTTGTTGTTGAGTGTCATTGAGTCAGTTCAGACTCATAGCAACCCTATATAGAGTTTCCAAATAGTGGCTGGTGAGTTTGAATCACCGACCTGTGGTTCCAACTGATTTTGCGGTCTAGTGCATTTTCTACAACACTACACCAGGACACTGTTGGTGTTGTTAAGTGCCATTGAGTCTGTTAGAACTGATCCATATTGACCCTGTATAGGGTTTCCAAGGGATGACTGGTGAACTTGAACCACCGGCCTTTCAGTTCAAAACCACTTTACAGTCCAGCACATTAGCCCACAGTGCCACACCAGGACTCTTGTTGTTGTTGTTGTGAAGTGCCGTTGAGTCAGTTCCAACCCATAGTAACCCTGTATAGGGTTTCCAAGGACCAGCTGGTGAGCTTGAACCACCAACCTTTCAATTCAAATGGCTTTGCAGTCTGGCGCATTAACCCACAGCGCCACACCAGGACAAATTGCCACTGATAGGCGTATATGAAGTACTGTTATGGATTGAATTGAGTCCCTAAAAAATATTTCTTATAAATCCTAACCCTTATATATGTGGCAGAGATCTGGTGTGGCACTGTAGGATAAGTACTGGATAGCTAACCTCAAAGTTACCTGTTCAAACCCACCTTCCATTCCTTGGAAACCCTATACAGTGTTGCTAAGAGACAGAACTAACTTGACGGCACTTAACAACAACAACAATCATGTGGGAGGAACCCTGGTGTGAACTCTCAAGCTGCCCCATGGGAGAAAGATGTGGCAGTCAGCTTCCATAAAGATTTCAGCCTTGGAAACCCTATGTGTTAGTTCTACTCTGCCCTACAGGGTGGCAGTGAGTCGAACTCGACACAACCACTAAGCATTTGTTTGTTTGTTTTTACATAAGCCCATTTGGGAATAGAACTTTCTTTGTTATATTAATGAAATCACCTAAGTGAAGGATGTATCTTAAGCTAGTAACCTTTGAGATATAAAAAGAGAAGATTAGGCACTGAAGCAAGGAAGCACAAAGGGAGAAAGATTAATGTCAAGTGAAAATCACATAAGAACTAAGAGCAGCTGAAGGAGACAAAGATTCTCCCAATAGCTGACAGAAGAAGAGTCTCTTCATATAGCTGATGCCCTAAATTTGGACTTCTAGCCTTCTCAACTATGAGAAAATCAATTTCTGTTTGTTTAAGTCATCCACTTGTGATAGTTCTGTTATAGCACCACTAGAAAGCTAAGACAGGTGCATTGCCCAGAGATTAAATCATATCTCCCACATTGTTGTTAAATGCCATCAAGTTGGTCCTAACTCACAGCAACCCTGTATAGGGTTTCTGAGAAGTGGCTGGTGAGTATGAACTGCCGACTTCGTGGATCAAACCCACCTTGAGATCCAATGTTAATTCTACAGTGCCACATCAAGACCCCACATAGAAGGCAAGAATTGTGCTGCGGAATCACCATTGTTCTCAGGAGAAGGGGTGCCAAATGTGTGGCTAGGGCATGACGGAGTGGCAAACCCAGCTTTGGATGAGTGCCCCCTTTTCCACTAGTAGGGTCTTTAGTTCCCCAATTCCAGCTGTGCCACTTACTGTCTACCTCACAGGCTGGACACTAGCTACCTCCCGTTTGCCAAGAATGTAGGACATACAGAGTGTATTATGCAATGCCTACTAAACAATTGGCACTCAAAAAACAGGAGCTACTTCTATCAGTATCAGTTATTTAGTGATTTTATTTGCATTACTTCTTTTATTCATTCTCTTCTTGAGTCACAAAAAGCCTCCCAGACTCCAGCTCAGCCCTCTGGAACTATTCCCTCTGTATGAACAAAGCAAACTCCTCTGCAGAAACTTCGTCCCCTGGAACTAATACCATGTCCTTACACACTAAAGGCTCTTACAGGGTGAATAAAGATATTGGCCCTGGAGAGAGGCCCAGAGCCTACAGCAGGATTGCTGCCTCTGACGGTGTTATCCTCCTGGATGGGGATGACTTGGGAATTCTGAGCTGGCCAGGATAGATGACCCCAGTCTGCAAAAAGTCTCCCCTATACTCACGAGGGAACTTCTTCTATTCATGAGTACTCATTTCTGCCTCCACTGTATCTGCCTGGTTTGTTCCAATGAGACCAAATGGTGATGACTGCCCACACCCTGCATCTTGTCTTATCTATGACTACCAGTAGCAGTTACCACCAACTCATTAACTCAACTTGGACTCATGTAAGTGCATGAGTTTCAGAATAGAATTGTGCTCCATGAGGTTTTCAGCGGTTGATTTTTCAGAAGTAGACCACTAGGACTTTCTCCCAAGGCACTTTTGGGTGATTCAAATTGTCAACCTTTCAGCTGGTAATCAAGTGCATTAACTATTTACATTGCTTATGGACTCGTATCTATGTTTAGGAACCTAGTCACTATTTATTGTTTGTTTGATGCCCAGAGATGGTAAGAGAAATGGCTTTCAAGAAAATGTGAACATGATAAATAAGATCTTCAACTGCCCCTCACAAAATTTATTTCGTCTTTAAGTATGGCGTGTCTTGGACAAGGAAGATTTTTGGTTGGAAAGATCTTCATTACTACAATAGTGAAGCCTTCATTCCATGTCCTCATCTAAATCTAGCTTGAACCTCTGGCAGTTAACTGTCAATGAACTATTGCAGCTATTTTTGAATTATCTTGAGAAAAACTTTTCTTTAATGTGATATGAATGATATATTCTGAAGATTTCCACATTCCGTAGGTCACCTGTCTTTGGAATGGGCACAAATATGGAACTCTTTCAATCAGTTGGCCAGGTACTTGTCTTCCAAATTTCTTGGCATAGATGAGTGAGTGCCTCCAGTGTTGCATCAGTTTGTTAAATGATTTCAACTTGTATTTCAATTCCCAGAAGCTGGTTCTTTGCCAATGCCTTCAGTCTACCTTGGATTTCTTCGTTCAGTACCACAGGTTTGTAATCATATGTTACCTCCTGAAATGGTTGACCATCAACCATTTCTTTTTTGGTATTGTGACTCTATTCCTTCCATTGTCTCTCTTTTTTTTTTTTTTTTTTTAATGTTTTACTGTGAAATATGTGATAGTTCACATGGGAGAACATTAGTTTTACAATCATCCTGTCGTATATTGTTTCATTGCCATGGTTACAGTCCCCTCCATGCATCATCAACAAACCAAAGGGCATACCTTGCAAGCCTGTCCCCCAGTTGTCAGCACACAGCCCCTCTCCCTCTCTGGGTCTAAAGTCCTCAGCTGCTCCATCTCTCCACACCAACGTCTCTGCCTCCATCTCTGGGTAGGGTCTCTGCTTATCTGGATACGGTCTCGCTCTCCACTCTTCCAACTTGATGGTCCCAGGGACCTCCGCTCCTAGACTGCAAAGTCAATCACTCCCCGCCTTTTGCTACAAAACATCTACCTTTACATTTCCAACCCTCACTGTCAGTCCTGATGACAATTATTCACTATTGTATCACAAGAGACCTATACACATTTCCTTTCATCAGCCCCTCCCAGACAGATTGGATACTACTCATTGGAGATTCTGCCTTCCTCCATGCTCTCTGGATCTAGGTTCCCTCTTGAAAGCTTGTAAGCCAGTCACTTCTTGCCTTTGTGGCCCCCCATTTTGGGTAGTCAATGTCCAAGTTGCCCATCCCTGTCTACCTTGTGTATGGAGGGGTCTCATGAAGTGTCTGTTCATGTCCTGTGCCCGTTTTTTAATTGGGTT